TGCTTCATCTGTGTGTTCATCTCGTGAAAAAAGGACGGGAGTGGGTATGGGGGAGATTTGGAAAGAGTTGGTCTAAAAAGTTTTAAAATTAGTATGAATCCTGATAAGAGGGAGACTGTGAAGTTGGAGAAGAGTTTTGGGGGAAATATAGCCGGGGCATTTAAAGAGGACCTGTGGCTCTTCTTGAAAAGCAGAGACCTGCGTGTCTGGGAGGTCTGCTGGTATACCCGCTCCCCGACTGGCCCTTTGTGTATCTCGGGCCTTCAAAACCAAGCTCAAACTCCGTTGCCATTGAGTCGATCCCAGTGCCCTAGTGACCCTAAAGAACGGGGTAGAACTGCTCCTGTGGGTCTCCAAGACCAACGCTTGGCAGGAGTAGAAAACGTCACCTTTCTCCGGAGAAGCGGATAGTGGTTCTCAACTGCTGACCTTGCAGTCAGCAGCCCAGTGCGTAAACCCTACACAGCCCATTAGGTAACCACTACGTCACTGGGTCTCTAGGATCTTGGGCCCGAAGTGAGGGGATAATTACAGGTCCCATTATTGTGTTTTTGAAAAAATTTTTTCAATTCTGGTCTAATCTGTACTAAAACTTTATTTTTATTTCAAAAATATTGTTACTGTCTTGAGAAGTTTCCTGAGACTGAACAGGAAGACAAAGCCTCCGCTGCCCCGTCCTCACCCAGACTAGCTGGTAGCCAGCCATCTCTGCCTCAAGCGTCCCCATGACTGGACTCTCACCCACCCACCCCTAGACCAGGGTTTTTCAACCTGTGGGTCGAGACCCCTTTGGGTGTTGAACAACCCGTTCACAGGGGTGCCTAATACCATTGGGAAACACATAGGTATTTCTCATGGTTTTAGGAACCGAGACCCTGCTCCTCTATCGGTCTCCAGGTGGGTCTGCCCACATGCAGATACGTCTACATACAAGTAACAGCGTGAAGACTGTTACCCATGCTACACCATGCTTCCAGACAAAATTTCAGCCTGTGGGTCGAGACCCCTTGTTGGGTGTTGAACAACCCGTTCACAGGGGTGCCTAATACCATTGGGAAACACATAGGTATTTCTCTTGGTCTTAGGAACCGAGACCCTGCTCCTCTTTCGGTCTCCAGGTGGGTCTGCCCACATACAGATACGTCTACATACAAGTAACAGCGTGAAGACTGTTACCCATGCTAT